GGTTATTCGATATATACATGTGCTTACCGGTATCAACAGAATATTAAAATACACGGATTAAAAGAAGATCACACCTTATTGTCTCTACGCAAGCGGTTGAGGAACGAACAAAACTCAAAGCCGGCATGCCGATGTATATTTGGTGCAAATTTGTTCAGATATTGGCGCCCATTGCTTACACCCCTTACTTTACACCAACTTCTCCTGTCCATCCATGCTCACAAATGGCCGCCTCTTCCTCATAGTAACTCTTTGCGGACCCGTATTAGCCTCTTCCGGAGACAGGTCATCCGAGTTTCAACAATGTATCAAATCTTGTTCCTCAAATCATTGTCAATCAAACACCGACACTAAGTCTTTATCCCTGGTCTTGCAATTCACGGGGTGGACGTGCGAGGATGATTGTAAATACTCATGTATGCATGAGATAACGAGTCGCGATATACAACAGGGGGTACCTGTGCAGCAATACTACGGAAAATGGCCATTCTGGCGTCTTGCTGGCATGCAGGAACCAGCTTCCGTCGCGTTTTCCCTCTTGAATCTCTGGTGTCATGCTCAAGGCGCGCTGAAAGTCCAGAAACAAATACCGAAAACTCATTACATGCGATCTTACTACTTAATTTGGTCTTTCGCGAGTATCAACGCTTGGATCTGGTCGTCTGTATTTCATACACGAGGCGAGTTCAATTCGGGCTTAGATATCAACTTTTGTCTCATCTCGAACATCATGTAGACCTCCCAACTACGGAAAAATTGGATTACTTTTCTGCAGCGCTTGCCATCCTTTATGCCCTTTATTATACTGTCGTTCGGCTGTTCCATCTCTATCCACGGCAGTCTCCCCTAACGCTCTCATATACCTCACAAAATACCCGACTACTGTGCAGGATCTGGTCTCTATTGTGTGTTGTCACATACGTGGCTCATGTCTTGTACCTGTCCCTTCTTCCGCGCTTTGACTACGCCTACAACATGGCATTTAACCTCCTAATCGGTCTCACGCATAATGTGTTGTGGTTGATATACGCTCTTCCAATATCGGTTTTTCAGAGGTTTCCTTCTCAACCCAAATCTTATCGGCCCAACTACGTATACAAAGCAGCTGTGTTCGTGGCTCTTACAACGGTCGCAACGGCCTTAGAACTTTTTGATTTTCCACCTTGGGGCAGAGTTATCGATGCTCATGCTCTGTGGCATCTTTCAACGGCACCTATCGCAATGTTCTGGTACGATTTCTTGGTAGAAGACTCTCTAGATGGGAATTGGAGGGAACAAAAGGCATGATGATAGTACGGCATGCTTGTGGGACTTCATTAGTAGGTTTCGTCTGTATCAACAGCAACTCGGTCTCATTCCATCGTTTCTACATGAACTTGTAGATAAACTGTTTCATTGGAAGCGGATATATTCCAGACAAGGCATCAAGCATTAGGTAAACTCTCCATGCTACTGTAGAGTACAAGGCATGCACGAAATAATCTACACACATAATATTGTACATAAGAAAATGAGATACAGAATTCAAAAGACGAAAATAAGGTAAACATGAACGAATTTCCATAAGGATAAAAAAATATCGTGATCTTAAGGAGCCGTGGCTGGACCAGTCTTGATTTCTAAAAGCCCGTTCTTTCCCTTTGCAAGCCCTAAAAATACTACATCAAATCCAAGGAAATCCACACGCAGCATACCATTGCCGGTCTCCAAGCCTTGTCTGTAGTAAAATGCCGTAGTCATCTCCTCACGATCGGAAGGACTCAGTGTGACGTTGTAAAACTCCTGCCGAGTGACTCTCGTGGAGAGATTCTCGTAAATTTGATCAAAGATGTCGCCAATAGTGATTCCGTTTGTCTGTGTGGCTCGGATAGTTATCGTCCATGGAAGTTTGCGATGGTATAAATGAAGCTCATGCATGGGCGGCGTCGTGGCCACCTGGTACGAATCAAGGTCGTTCGAATGTCTTGGAAGATTGAGGTATTGGATATCGATCGTCTGTGGATCTTGTCGAATATCATACGCAAGGGGATGTGTCGAAGAAGAACCGTAGTGTATCAATGAATGAAGGGTATAATTTGTGTGACTGCCTGTCAACGGAGTGAAGTTTTGACCAGTCGATCTGCCCCTCAAAGTGAACCGACGGAGCTTTGCATATGCGGAATGTGCAGAATGGGGAGGAACGTAGTCGGGCCTCCAATAAGCAGGGCGCGGGGCAAGGTTCAGTGAATCAAAAGTTAGATCTGCCCCATACGATCTCAGTGACTTTCGTCTCCTCGATATGGAACCCTTCTTGGACAACGTTGGGGGTTTGCATTTGCACGGACACTTCTCCTTTGGATACTCATACTCGTATGCGTATGTGTGCGGGAAGGGGGATGTGTGACCGTCGTCGACGTCGGATTCTTCTGATTCCGGCGAGGGAGGTATTGGTTCCGTACACGGCTTGTTAGGATCCCAATAGTATGGCGCTATCGGGACCTGAAGCGGAGGGATATCAACCGTGGCTTTCAAGGGTGGAAGATTAACATAAGGTTGGGCTGAGCTGTTGGAATAAGGCGGAGGAGCTCTATTTCGTATGTGAAAACAATACACGGCTCGAATAAAGTGGTCCTCACGTGGAACCCGTGTAGTTTGGATTTGGACTCGGATAATAGCATGGATACGGATAATACCATGGATAGGGTGTATATGAGTAAGATGGATAGCCTGCGTTCATGTTGCAAGAAGGGTGCCGTGCATGAGGTGTACGGAGGATTGAAGCAGGAAATCACTTCGAGGGTATTCCAAGGGGAGATATATATGATGCGTTGTGTAGGCCTTTGTTGCGAACATGGCTGTGGATGACAAAAGTGGTATGGGCTACTCCGTCGCGACCGAATGGATAAGGGACTGTTGTCAAGACGGCCAACCATTATTGGCCCGGCCTAAAGAAGACAAAAAGGTGTTTGTTATGCAATCGCTTGACAAGGAAACTTTAAAATACAAAAGACAAAAAAAAACATGGAATCACACTAGCCCTTGTACATGTCGATGTATCATAGTCAGGGCTCAATGAAGTAGCTATAAACGTGACAGGCGATGTTAGTCCCCCTTCATCACTTGGAAGTCCTAAACGAGCCACACCTGTAAGTCCATGCCACTGCCACCAGCAAAAACAAGTCTATCGGTTTATCGATCACGCTCTCCAGACCAAGGTTGTTTGGTCGAGTGATGTTGTCAAACCGTCAAGCTGCTACTTGGTGGAGGAGCTTTGTTTGTTTGTTCAAAGATAGTGTCTTCTCAAACACTGCTGGGCTGTGAGTCTGGCATTCTCGTTGTCGCTTCCAGCCTCTTCCCTGATAACGCCCTGTTTCACTTCATCGCTCGTTACGGATACCTCTGTCTTTCCTTCAAGCTCAGCATGTAAGTAATCAGAATGCAACAGCAGCTCTCATCTGCCGCTTGCTTACCAACTAAGCTTTTGTCACGCTCGTCTGCAAGTATCAACCCTTTATGTTGAAGAGCTCATCTTTTGAATGGTGCCAGCGGAACCATATATGGCTATTCTTTCGCCATGAAGGTGCTTTGCTTCTTGATAACATGCCGCTTGAAGCTGAGCTAGCGAAGTTGTTATGCTCAATTCCTTCTCCGAATCTTCATGAACTTCCTTTTCTTGTCCGTTTCCGTGAGGGTATTCCAATTCTCATAGGCTCTGTTTTGCATCATGTTTCACTCGTGTCACGGCTAAGCTGTAGACTTGAGTAATATCACGGGAATGGTCCACCGTGATTGCGCCCCGATGCAATACAGCTAGGTACATCTTCATATGTGGTTGTTTGGCAGTCGGCGTACGAAACCTCGCGCATAGCGATAGCGGGAGTAGAGCGCGATGGTTATTGCTGTTGGTGGGTTAATATCCTCAATTCTGACTTGTCCCTCGTCTCATCTATCAACACTCTCACTAAAGCTCTCAACAAGCCTTTTATCCACTTTCGGGATGTCGCACGCCAAACCTATCGTGACCTTGCTAGTCCTTTTGTCATATTCCTACCCTTACTTGTGTGCCTCTTTTGAGCATAATTGTGATGTTGAAGTCCGACGGACGCTATTCGAACTCTGTAATCTATCATTTCAGTTTCTCATGCCAATTCAGACGGTCTGTTATGTTTGTATCCACTCTATAAGTCGCCTTGAGGTGTTAGGGTGCTTCCCGCGCTTCTATTACCAAATTATCTCGTGTCCCGTGCCTGCCTTTCCTCCTCTTGATCATGGCACGTACTACTTAGCGAGTCAACAAATCTCTGAATCATCTCCCAGTCTTGAATTTACTAACGCGTCTCGCTAACCTACAAGCCGCCTTTCAATGTCAATGCGAGTTTTCTGTTTGCTTAATCGTCAACTTTTCTAGAAGTTATGTCCTACTTCAAGTCATGTGAGCACCCATCTATTAGACTAAGTGCCTTAAAATCTTAACGTACCTCCTCAACTTTAATGACACCACCGCGGGGACAAGCTTGCATGCAGTTACGTCGCATCTCCGTACTGTTGTCCGCTGAGAGCCTCCCCACCATTCGTGGTGAAACAGTGAACTCCGAGTCGTCGGTGACGTATTGGGGTAGTATTCGGGTACACTGGCAGGACGTCCATTAGTGAAATACTTTCTTAAAGTTCTTCGATAGTCAGCTGCTAAAACGAGGCGTTCTTGAAAGAATAACCATTTTTGTTTTCGCAATAATCAAAACGTTCAGATATTTATTACTTATATGGTCAGATTTAGGGTCCATTAAGCCGTCCTATCGAAGTTCTGTGCTCCTTTTAACGCAGTCTCCTCAGCGCCACACATCCATTCTGCGACGGAATTTGTAATGAAGAGCTGCAAAATACCTCGACTGTTCTTAGCGACTGCTTATCGCCACACACGACCTCTTGTTCAACATGATTGATTATTAGTGATAGAATTCGAGTTACAACCTACTTCAAGAGTTGGAGTTAGACGCCAGAATCCCTCAGCTCAGCAAAAACGACAGGCCCGGGACTCGAACCCGGAGTCTTCAGCTCATTTCCGAACCGATCCGAACCGGAAACTGACGCGTTAACCATTACGCTAGCCCGCCACTGAATGAGCAATTAATAATAATTGATTTCACTCTTGTACTGTTACTCTGACCGGCAAGGCGTGTAGAGGGACGCAGGAAAAATTTCAAAGAAACAGCGCAACTCCCTTGTCTGTGACAAATTTGATTCAAGGCTCATATGGAGCTAGAACAAGGTTTGCAAGACGTATACAGATTGCCATACTCTCTAAACAGTGAGGAGGGTCAGAAGATAAGCGCCCGAAAAATGGTTTAATAAACTAACATGGACAAATAAATGTTTTCTTTCTGCTCTCGTCCTGCCGTTCTGCCAGAGTGGTCTGGTAATAGGAAATGGAACTTCAATTGCAGCTGCAAATTAGCCCAGCTAATTTGCCGATAATTTTCCGGACTCCAAAATAAGGGATCGAGCAGTGCGAAACGGGGCAAATTGGCCCTAACAAGGCCAGAAAATTGAACCCAGTAACCTCTGAGTAGTGCTCAAAGCAGCCCTATGGAGCTAGTAGATAACATATTTAGCTGTAATTTATTTGTAAATCGCAAATACCGATATCACCACCAGTCGATGCCAGCTGATCCAGAAGCGGATTCTTTGAAGTAGCTGGATGACAGCCTTCCAGACCTGTCCGGATTTGAAAACCGTTACTTTGATCTTGCAGCTCAGTTCGGTATCTCACGTTACTTGCATACAGATCTTGGCAGATAGCATACCTAATGGTGTAATGACATCCAACAACAAGCAGGGATATTTGACAGAGAGATCTATGTAGAGTGGGAAAGGATGTGGAGGCCAATATTTTATCCCTCATGCTGATGCATGAAGAGGGAGTCCTAAAGCATGACGGTTTTATGACCCACGCAAAATAGGTGCAAATTAGATGCAAATCAGTGCAAATCATTGCAAATCATTGTAGATCAGTGCAGATCAGTGCAAATCAGTGCAAATCAGCCTGTTCTTACAAAGCAAAATAGCCTTGGCAAAATTGCTATGAATTAGGCCAGCAAAATAGGGCCTGAGACATAACGGAGCAAATTTGCTGGGCAAATTAGAGCTCAGACCTATTTCCTGCCACTCTAACGTCGAGCTAGATTAACAGATCAGGAGAAGCTGCTGTGCCAGAGCGACAGATAACAGTGGAGCAATTTGTTACAATTCCGTGAGGCTGTTCTTGCCATGGTTATCCACGGTGAATGGAAGACAGAACCGTCTGTCCCGCTTCGAAGTGAGTCGGTCAAGTGACTGACGCGCCGACGACGCGTTTCGAATTTCAGGTTTGATGGGGCACACTATTGTACACGACACGATGTATTGTGGCAGCGCTTGATGATACAGTCAAAAGAATTCACACGAGCACCTCCCAGGCTTACTTTACAGACTTCAGAAAATCCAGAAAGGCAACGACATGATCAGCGTCACATCGTTTCTTGAACTTCGAAGATTAGTAGGATGCAACTTCTGAGGTCCGGGTGTTCAACATGGAAGGATATGTTCTAATCTTTTTCCATGAAGCGTTCAAGCTTTCTGAATCTCAAGGTACATCGATATCCATTTTGGGCCCGCGTACTCTCACAAAAACCTATTCGTGTCGTGCAGGGTTGGATCAAGAGCACAATGGCAAAGACTACACTTCGATGCTGGTGACGCAAGACACGTTCTCTTTTGATTGAGGCCAAGAACAGCCGCATGTTTAATGGTGACCTTACTAGGTATGAACCGTATATGAACGTTGAACCACGCGTAATTCCTTTTCTGTATCAGTGATCGGATAACTTATCCAACACATCAGCAGAAAATTCCATCGGTGTCTTCGCTTCGTTTTTAGAATCATGGTTGTAGGTTTTCTCGGACCGCACATACAGCCAAGCAATACGTCGCATGCCTCCTGCTTGCCGAAGATAAGACGAGTTGTAAGTATAGCGCATAAACCTACGTAGAGTGTGGGGCCCGGCACTTTTAATGGGACCATATGATTACTACTACTCCTGCTCTTCTAAAACTCTACGAACAGTCATACATCTTGCCTTACCCTAGATTACTTCTGAAAAGGTCTTGTGTCAAAGGTGCGGACTATCGACACAAATTCAGGTGTCGTACGTTTTTCTCCATAAAGTATATCTCAAGGCGTTGTTCACCCGCTCCCCCTAAACTGCCGCGCTAACAATAGACAATCGAGCTATTCTCGGATCCCTTGATCAATGAGAAGCTTGTGAAAACGGATAGATATGCTATTCCGCGATGCGGAAGATTGTACTCATCTGCGACAAGCTGCGCTTCAACCTGCTGAGGAGTTGTCTCCTTTTCATTGTCTCTCCCGTTAAGTCTTTCTTTCTCCTAAACCACCCCCTAGTCCCTATAGCGCCACTCCTATCTATTCAGCGCGATTTCGAGCATGATTCTTCGGGTGCCCCTATGGCTGACCTTGGCTTGCGTACCGGCTCTGGGCAAGACGCCAGGCTCCTTTATGGAAGTAGGCAATACACTCGTTAGTGCAATGATGGTAAAGAAGCAACTTATATTCTATCCTCGTCTCCTCAAATTTTGTGGCATTCGTAGATGTTCCTTGGGAATAATGAAAAAGTGTATATCTTGGACAAGGCCGAAGGAAATGCTGCAACAATCAATGGTCATCCGGCATGGGGCGCGGTTTGGTAAGTCTCAGGATGCCCCTTTTATTGCTCTTTGTAACCCCTCTATGCCCAGGGATATCGCCACACAGCAGGCCACTGTCATGGATGTCGTAACTAACACCTTCTGTGCATCGGGAATGCACCTCCCAAACGGATCATGGGTGACGTTTGGTGGCAACGGTGCAGTTGGAAGAGGGGGTAACATCGGATCTCAACGCAACTCAGCTGGAAGTGGCGCTTGGGACTCTGAGTATCAAGATTTCGATGGCACTAAGGCTATACGGATCTTAAATCCATGCACAGACTCTGATTCATTATCTTCCCCTAAATGCCAGTGGTACGATGATCCGAATGTCGTCTCGATGCAAAAAAGGAGGTGGTATTCTGCTGCTGAAGCCCTCGCTGATGGATCCGTTGTGTTGATAGGGGGTTTTGTTAATGGCGGTTATGTCAATCGAAATTATCCCAATGTCGACCCCGAATTTCAGGGCGGCGCCGCCGAATCGACATTTGAGTTCTATCCTGCTAATGGGCGTACTGCGGCCACTATGCAGTTCATGATCAAGACTTCGGGACTCAATTCTTATGCCCATACCTATCTCCTCAAATCTGGAAAAATGCTTGTGCAGGCAAACGTATCCACTAGTAAGATTGGTTTTACTCATCATGACTGAACGAGCTTGAAATTTCTGCAGTAATATGGGATTATACTAACAACATCGAGACTCCTCTCCCGGACATGCCCAACAATGTCGTGCGCGTCTATCCGGCGTCTGGTGCAGTTGCTATGCTCCCCCTCAAGCCTAAGAACAACTACACCCAAACCATACTCTTCTGCGGTGGATGTGATATGCCTGACTATGCCTGGGGTGATTACGCCCATCCCAGCATCAACACTTGGGACTATCCAGCTTCGAAAGACTGCCAACGTCTCACACCAGAGCCTCCTGATGGTTCGGACCCTGCATATGAGGCTGACGACGACATGCTCGAAGGCAGGACGATGGGTCAGTTCATTGTCCTTCCTGACGGAAAGATACTCGTTATAAACGGAGGATTGAATGGCACAGCTGGTTATGCTGAGGCGACAGGAGAGACAGCTAACTACGGCGATATGCCTTATGGAATGTCGCTTGCATCTGGTCCAGTGGGCGCGCCAGCTATCTATGATCCGGAAGCACCAAAAGGATCTCGATGGTCGAACGCAGGTCTCGGAACTTCTCAAATAGCCCGTTTGTATCATTCTTCAGCGATCCTTCTACCTGACGCCTCAGTTCTGGTTGCCGGTTCTAATCCTAACGCCGACGTCAACATAAGTACCGTCTTTCCTACGACGTACAAAGCCGAGATTTTCTATCCCCCTTACTTCAAGGCCACTACACGCCCCGTTCCATCCGGCGTCCCAGAAACCATTTCTTATGGAGGAGACTACTTTAATATCACCCTTCCGAAGAGCTCTTACACTGGCTCGGCTAACGACGCAGCAGAGAGTACGACTGTCGTCCTCGTTCGTGGTGGCTTCTCTACGCATGCAATGAACATGGGTCAGCGCTATCTCCAGCTTAACAATACTTTCACGGTCAATAACAACGGCTCAATTACGCTACATGTCGCTCAGGCACCCAACTCGTACATTTTCCAGCCAGGACCTGCCTTACTTTTCGTCAACGTAAGAGGTATCCCAAGCAATGGGAGTATGGTCATCGTAGGGAACGGTCAAATCGGCACACAGCCCACTGCGCTTGCGAGCACACTCCCTGAAAGTGTATATTCGACTTCAAATACCACGACAACCACTCAGAGTAAGGCTAATGGCAACACGGTAACCTTGACCGGGAGTTCGATTTTTGCTGCTGTCGCTGGCATCGTCGTTATCGGGATATACAATTTACTTAGTAAGTAATTTGGTTTTCTCCGTTAGCCACCGGCTTGACATCAGTATCTTTCTTAGTATGATCGTTAAAGCTTAGAATCTACGAAAGTAATGGCCAAGGGTAGACCATTGCAGTATATAAAATTATCTAGTACGTCCTGGACTCATTAGCTGGTTCTACCAGAGCCATCAGAAACTTGTATCACTACGTTAGGCGATACCTGTATAACACAAGTATACTACAATATTATCTAGACACGAAACAATCGACTATTTTTTGGAAGCGTTAAGTCTACTATATCCAGCCAAAATCATCTCGGCGAATTTGACTAATCCAAAACAAGCTCTGGGAAGACCTTTCGAGGGCCTTGCTGGGATTCGAACCCAGGCCACTTGCAACTTGTGTCCCAAAGCAAGTATCGTACCTCTAGACTACAAGGCCAGAGTCTGACACAACGTATGACAACTACCGTGGCGCTGTCGAGGACGAGACGTTTCCAATTGTGCAGTTTATTGATTG